TGTATGAATGCTTTTGTCTTTGGGAAAAGAAATATGAAACAAAAATGTAAGATTTAAACGTAAATATAAGTTATATGCACCATAAGTTATATTCGCCATATGCACAAGCACACCAGACATTGGTATGCTTGTGCATAAAATTCATCTTAAATCCAATTTTCCATTAACTGAAGTTCAATCTAACTTGTAGTCAAGATTAGGTGATTAACAGTTAGTCTCAAATCCAGTGGGAATACCTCGGCGACGTTAATAAGAACCGCTAACAGAAACTGTCTCTGTATCCTCCCTTCACAAAGACCCGTTTCTGCAGTTTGGCTTTAGTCACCACACCCTGCAACTCCCACTGTCTCTACCTCTCTCTCACCCCGTCCCACAGCCCACCCAACCCCTCCAACCACCTATCCGATGCAGCTGGGGCTTGGGATGGGTGAAGTTCAAATGGGCTGCACTTAAAGATTCCTTTCAACTCTGTGGGTCAGTCAGACCTGTTGGCGTGAGTGTAAACCTCACTCTGAAATGTCCACATGAAGGCCTTGTGTCATTAAAGGCTTCCTGCCACTTTTGCACGTACCTTTCAATTAACTGCCACCTCAAACAAAGACACATGCGCATGGGGCCAAACAATGGCTTCTCTTGTGTTAGTGAAGCCTGAGGTGAAATTCCACTGTTTGAAATTCCATTTGAGTTACCTTGGAAAGACCTCGGCAGAGCATGGAGGACACTTGAAGTGCACAACGTTTGGCGTTTATGTGAAAGGCATGCTGTGCTTGGAAAGACTTCAAAAGGAAAAAAGTGCACGAATTTAAGGCGTGCAATGCATGAAAAAAAACTGCATGCAGGCTTCTTAGCGTGAAGCGGATATTTTGTGTATTGGTTGTCTTTGTCAGCTTGCATAACATTCAAACTATAGCAATACTGCAACCCCATACTAAAATAAAAACATGCATGTAGTGCATTAAAAATGGAATGCAGACTTTTTGCAAAACATGATGTGTAGACTTCTCTAGCAAACATTTGTTGGCTTGTTGCAACGGTATAGTGCATGTGTATGTCTTTGTCAGTATGAACAAAGCTCATGACTTGGAAATACAGCTCAAACTATAGCAGTACTGCAACATCTTAATAACTTAATGCACACATGTACTGAAATACAGCATGCAAGCATATTGGGATGTTTGAGGAGCATATTGTTTTTGACAACGTGGTCAAAGTCCATCACTTACAAACACTCAAAAACTCCAACTATAGCAATTCGGCAATATGGCAAAACCTTTACCAGAGGAAATGCATGAATGCATTAAAAACAGCATGCAATGTATTGCTAGGTATAAAGAGTATAGTGCATGCATTGTTGTCTTTGCCAGAACAAAGCTTATGACTTAGAAATACATAAAGCTCAAACCATAGCAGTACTACAGATCTTATTAAAGGAAATGCATGCATGTGCTGCATAAAAAACAACAACATGCAAGCTTGGACAAAGGACAACATGGACAAAGTCCATCACTTACAAACATTCAAAAACTTCAACTAGGCCTATAGCAATGCCGCAACCCTTTACCGAAAGAACTGAATAGGACTATAGCAATGCTGCAACCCTTTACCGAAAGAACTGAATGCATGCAATGCATTAAAACAGCATGCAAATTAACTGCAAGACATGAAGAGAACAGTGCCTATATGTTATTTGTCATCAAGGATGATGTTCATCACTTGGAAATATATAAAACCTCAACCTACTTACGCAATACTGCAAATACTTGCTAAATGAAATGCATGAATGCAATGTATGGAAAACACCATGTAAGCTCATTGGGATGCCTGAAGAGTATAGTGCATTGATTATTGTCTTCTTCAGCATGGACGACTCTCATCACTTGGAAAGCTTAAAACTATAGCAACGCTGCAACCCCTTGCTAAATGAAATGCAGGCATGCACTGCTTGATAAACAGCATGCGGGATAATTAGGCAGCGTGAAGAGTGTATAGTGTTTGTTTTTTTTTTTGTCAGCATTAATAAAGCCTATCAGTTGGAAATACTTAAAAGCTCAAATTATACTGCAACCTCATATTGAATATTTAAGACAGAGTTAAGTGTGAAGCCATAAAAGGCAATGAAATTACCAGTAGAAAACGCTGCCATGTTGTTCTTGTTAAGGCTTTGAATAAAATCTCCACCAGGAGAGAGATTTTGCCCTTGATCTCCCCACTGTAAAGGACTTTAAACAGAACACTATCATTTTTTCACGGGTAGAACTCGCCCATAACACTAAATGAGACCACCCATGATCTAGGCTTTATTTAATTGTTACCATGATATCGCTCTCTGATTCACACTGGCTAAAAACGTAGCCGACTGTAATATATAGGACTGTTCTTTGAATGAAAAGTTCAGTCAGATGCATGATTGAGCCAGATTTTACACTTATGATGTCTTGTCTGAGACTATGCATGCAATTCTGGATTAGATCTGATTTCATTTCTTATCTTATAAATGTCTCAGCTGGATGTAATTTCCTTTTGTGAAAGTGATCTAGAAAAAGCTATTTTAAACTATCTTACGCACCACATGTTCTCATGATGCATCACTGGTGTCTTCACTGCAGATGGTCTGACACTTCAGACGGCAGTAAAGGCTGAGTCTGTTGGGCTCTGGAGGAGGCCATGACTCATGTGAAGAATGGGCAGTGCTCGTAGTCAGACGTCTGCCAATGCTTCTCGATCGGAGACCAAATTAGCAGCAGCAGCTCTCTCAAAGTGAAGACATCAGACGTGCAAGCGTACAATAACACGCTCTCATCTGTGTCAGTTTAAAAGAACAAAGATTACAGCAGGCCAGATTCAGCCAGAAGCACTGACACGACAGTCAGAACAAAATTAGAACTACCACGTCTCTGTTTTATAATATGTTTTTTAGAAGTAGACATTTCTAGATGTGAATCACCTGTGTATATCTACTGTGCCTAATAGTGCTTTTTATATAGTGTGTGTGTGTGTGTGTGTGTGTGTGTGTTTTACATATACAATAATCATATTAATCATATTGCATATGCATTTCTCTCTCGCTCGCTATGCATATGCAATATGATTAATATTTGAAATATCATGCATTTCAGCTATTTGAAATATTTGAAATGCATAAATGCATATGCTTTGGGTGTAGAAAAAAATTTACTACAAAATTGCTTGTTGCACAATTAATCAAAGAAATGGTAACACTGAATTAAGCGCTTACGTTTGAAGTAAAAAGACAAAATGTCAATGTCAAATTAAAACTTAAATTTTTTTTTACAATTATGTGTATGCAAGTCAAGTCACCTTTATTTATATAGCACTTTATCCAACAGAGATCGTTTCAAAGCTGCTGTAAACATGTAAGTAACAGAATCAGTGATGCTAACTTCTTGAAATACAAGACAAATCCAAATTCGGCTGTAAAGCAGCTCTAAAATATGAAAAGGAAATCAAGAGAATATACTATTACTCTTCACTAGACAGTTGTTTTTAGAAAATGTTTGTTGGTTAAAATGGTTAAAAAAAAGTTTTTTTTATTATTATTATATGAAATGTAACTGAAGATTTGCCAGATGCGTTTTAAGCTAGAATTTTAAAACATAGTTACTTTTCCTTACATTGGACACCCGTATTTGTCACTGACCCTAATACATAGAGGTCAGTATAATAGGTGTGGTTTTATTTAATTAAAGACTGGTTTCAATGGGAATCACTGGCATATGCGTTCATATGGTAAGTGTGCTTGTTGGTTACAATTCGGGCTAAACTGGGTGGTGGGGGGGCTTAAAACAAGTCTATAATTATGGCTAAGATGCACGGCAACTCAGTCCCAGCTGTCCAGCACTGCACACAACTTACAAAAGAGAGGCTCTGTTGAGCTTTCAATCACGGCAAAAATGTTTCAGGCCAATTCAGCAGAACCTCAGGAGGGGCAAGAGAATCCATCTTGGGTTTTTTTTTAAATCCATTACTGAATCAAGAAGCCCCTTATTTTATCTACAAGGCCACCACTCCCTGAGATATAAATATAGTCCTGTTGTGCTAAAAATACTCCGGCAGGCCTTTCTATTAATAGCCCTGCCGTCTGAACTTAATACTGTCAGCAACTTTAAATCAGCCAGGGCTTTTGCCAAGTGAAAGAAAAGGCTCTCTGTTTCTGTAACCGCCCCACTTTTTCTCTCACACGCTTTCTGACTTGACGTCAGCATTCGCCAGCACTTTCGACTCCAGTCACCAGTCAAGTTCAGGCAAATTAGTCTTTTAGTCTTTTGCTGCCATTGTGCTGCAGTGTGACGGCTCTAGGGCTGAGCACGCGTGCACGCTTTTTCCAGCAGTCTGGAGAGGAACACACAGCTAGCTATTGTCTGGTCAGCTGTGTTGCGAGCGTGCCGCACAATAGCACATATTCTTAAAGCTCACCCACTCCCTGTTTCCACCGCGACTGCAAGTGAAGTGATATATATATATTGCTTTTAGATATATTGCTTGTGTGTGTGTGTGATATTCAACTTGTCATAAACTGACCAAATGCACAGCTCAAAATTTTTGATATTTTACTTTTTTTTAATTTGCCATTTATTGTGTTTTTGCAATTACTTCAGATGTAGTAATTTCTCTTTACTCGATGGTTTTACCACCTGACATGAATCAAAATGTCACTATCAAAATACAAAATAATATTACAATATAATTCTCATATTGGATACCCTTATTTGTCAATGACATTGATACAGTAACAATGATATGATAATTCCGAAGAGCTTTCAGCAATATCCTTGTTCTTTGGCGAGCCATAGAGCCCCTTTCTCTAGAAACACTGTCAGCATCTGCTGTAACCTAGTAATTGGTAGCTGTAATTAAGCATGAGCAATGTGTTTATAGTGGTGAGATAAAATGCTGATTAAAGACTTATATACAGTGCAATGAAAATGAGAGCATTCACAAGCTGTAGTTTTACTGTCTATTTAATTTGGTCTGCTCTGCAGGATGGGTCATAAACTTGGCCAGAATCACGTCTTGGCTGCTCGTTTGGGTGGAGGTGGAAAGAAGCACTACTGCCAGCCTGAATGTACCTGACGACCTCAGAGACCAGAGTCAAACAGAAACAGACTGGGTGGTATATAGTCATTACAGCGCACACAGATCAAGGCTTTATGGGAAGGGATAATTTCACCAGGGGCCCAGAGTTTCTGCCTATGAGTGTTTTTAAAAATACTGAACTGCTTTTTAGAGTCAGCTTGTGTAGGTGTATCTATTCCTGTATACTTCTCTCTTGGTCATGCTTTTTCAAAGAATCTGGATTTTATAGTAACACAAATGTATTTCTGTGTAATGTGTGTATATCAGTGTTTCTATTCATTGCTTTTATATTTATTTTCACAATGTGTATTCATGTCAATTCTGTAATTTGCACAGGCGACCTGGTATTGTATGACTTTATTGGACATTGACATGTTAATTAAAATATTTTTTCCCAATTTTTGCTCTCGTAAATTGTTTTATAATTGCTTAACTCCTTTAATTGCTGCGTTCGTGAGTGCCTCAACTTCACACCGTGTCTACACCGGACACGACAGTTGTTGTGCCGCGCCGCACACTGGACACGACAAAGCAACCGTTGAAAATCATATGAAATTTGTGTCAATATTGTGTCAATAAATGGAACGCAGCAGCAGTTTTCTGTCGGGGGTTTGTCGTGTCGCGCCTCATCCAGTGTAGACAGCATCACTGATTATAATGAGTTCTATAGTATTTTGTCACGCCGCTCGCATCCGGTGTAGACACGGTGTCAGCGTCAAAGGTTGCTGTTTACAACATGTTTTTGCAGCGTTGACCGATGTAGCCAGTGTTCTAGTAGCTTCATAAAATTACGGTTGAACCACTGATGTCACATGGACTATTTTGTCGATGTTCTTGGTATCTTTCTACCTTTCTGCTGTCTATGGAGGGTCAGAGAGCTCACAGAATATTATTTCATCAAAAATATCTTGATTTGTGTTCCGAAGATGAACGAAGGCCTTGCGGGTTTGTGAGTAATTAATGACAGAATTTTCATTTTTGAGTGAACTATCCCTTTAATGCTAGAGCATCCTCACTAATTTCAGAAGCAATTTGATTCTAGAACCGGTCCTGATGTATCTATACAAAAGCTGATTTTGAAAAAATGATCATATCCTATCCTGAGACATGACAATAAACTAAATGTCCATCATAGTCCACGTTTAGGAGCTTTATAGCATGTCATCAGCATTTAAATGACTGCTTTATCAGCTCATTCTAGACTCTTCCCCGTGATCACGATAGGACAAAAAAACAGCATGATTCATTCTCGCACCTTGTGGGAAACAGCTAGCGCATTCACGCTGCACATCTGTGGAAACACGGACTATTTTGTCGATGTTCTTGGTATCTTTCTACCTTTCTGCTGTCTATGGAGGGTCAGAGAGCTCACAGAATATTATTTCATCAAAAATATCTTGATTTGTGTTCCGAAGATGAACGAAGGCCTTGCGGGTTTGTGAGTAATTAATGACAGAATTTTCATTTTTGAGTGAACTATCCCTTTAATGCTAGAGCATCCTCACTAATTTCAGAAGCAATTTGATTCTAGAACCGGTCCTGATGTATCTATACAAAAGCTGATTTTGAAAAAATGATCATATCCTATCCTGAGACATGACAATAAACTAAATGTCCATCATAGTCCACGTTTAGGAGCTTTATAGCATGTCATCAGCATTTAAATGACTGCTTTATCAGCTCATTCTAGACTCTTCCCCGTGATCACGATAGGACAAAAAAACAGCATGATTCATTCTCGCACCTTGTGGGAAACAGCTAGCGCATTCACGCTGCACATCTGTGGAAACACAGCCACTGTTTCCGCATTCCTCACATACCGGCGCAGGAGCGCTGGGCACGACTCCGCCGGTGAGCGGTTAGGAGATGCCTTATCCAAACAAACATGTATAATGTGATACTTTAAACACTGAGAATGACTGTATTCCGCGCTGGTGTTGAGTAGAAGAGACATACTCGGCGCTTTCAGAGTCAGAGCCCTTAAATGGTCAATGACGTTTCCGGGGTTCCAATGCGTAATCAGAAACGGGCGTCAGACGCACAATCAGCTCAGGGAATGCCCGGAAAAAATGCTTGATGTCTTTCACCTCAAAGGAGACTAATTTTGGAAACTCTGATTCCTCTTTTCTATTATTATCCCTTAATACAAATCTATCTTTAATCATTATTATCGAGCTCACTTTGACAGTGACTGTATAATACTAGCATTCTATTGCTTCAGATTGGCAGTAAACGAGCAAATGCTCAGAGAATATCACAACAACCTGTATGTGATTGTGAATCGTATTATAGTTATCTAAATACCAGGATGGTGGTGTTTTGTTGGAAGGATCTCATAAGACGCTCTGTTTGTTTTACAAGCAACTGTGTGCAACTATGTAGCTCTTCACCTCTCAACAGTTCTCAACCCTGACCTGAACAGCAACTTGATGGAGCTGGAAAAACAAAGCTGACAAAGTGTGCCAGAGTGTTACTAAAGGATAGTGGTAGCTTGCTGGTTAAAGCTTTGTCCTAGTAACCAAGACCAAGGCGTGAAAGGATGAAGCATGAACTAGCATCACCTTGAGGAAAACACGATCCCAGTCTGCCCAGTGGGACTGCTGGTGTAATATGTGTACTGTCACAAGTTATCTGCTACATAACAATTAGAGATTGTTCTACAAACAGTAAGAGACCTGTGATAAGATACCCGTAATAAAACCTCAAATCACTTACTGAAAAGCTATTTTACACTGAACAAAATTATAAATGCAACACTTTTGTTTTTGCCCCCATTTGTCATGAGCTGAACTCAAAGATCTAAGACTTTTTCTATGTACACAAAAGGCCTATTTCTCTCAAATACTGTTCACAAATCTGTCTAAAGCTGTGTTAGTGAGCACTTCTCCTTTGCAGAGATAATCCATCCACCTCACATGTGTGGCATTTTTCCATATGCACTGAATTTTGTTCAGTGTTTGTGGATCATGTTGTCATATCCTTTTTTGGAGGTTATGCAAGCCCTGTACAGGCTCTTTAGGGAGGAGCAGAGCTTGCCAAAGTTGACGGAACTGGACATGAATTACTTGTAAAGTCTGCATTCCTGTCAGTACGGTTTCGTAATTAACTATGTGTCAGTAAGGATATGACGCTGATTCCAGGACAAGAGGATATGAAGACTATCCTTTGGCAAACTGTTGATTTGTTTGCACGTCACTTACGGCCTTCCTTAACATTTCCACTGAATGCATTCACACCTCAGTGGGGTAATTCCCTCTCTCTCATACAGTCCTAACTAAATCTGGCAAGACTTTAAGGATGTTTAACAGGAAATGTTTTGTTATTTTAAACTTTGACCAAGGGAAGTCAGTCTGCATTTGCAGTAGTATTGCTTCGTCACCAGTTATTGAATTGTCTACCACCCCAACCCCCAAAGCAAAACCATAAGACAGAGGTGTACAATTCTCAATCCACAATTTATTGAAACAATACTGCATTTGACAAGAGCAGCAATGCATATGTTACTCCATTTAAATGACTGGAAATAACTCACATCAATTCATAATATGCATTTCTCAATAACTCAACAGAATTCATTTTGTTCCACAAACACTGTCCTTCTCAGTGCAGTCTAACAAGCGATTGAGGTCCATTTGTAGCTACTGCAGTTCATAGTCACTAAAGTCCGGCACATACACGGATCATTCACCCGGCATTTGAAAATGTTCGCCCCCCAGGCAGCGATAGTGACGCACACTCGTCGCTTTCCAACCCATTGCACGCCCACGCCGCCCGCGTGCAAGTTCTCCGGCACCGCTTGCGCCGACAGGCAGCCTTTCACAGTTCATGTTCCCACAACTTGTTCCTCCGCTACCACTTTTTTTTTTTCCACGGAGGTCACACAAGCTGAAGGGGCAGGGTGGAATGTACCGGTCCCGTGCGCACAGTTCCAAGAGCTCCACTTCTCTCTCACAGCCCCTTTTGAATGACGCAGCACTCAACGGCGGCTGGTGCAGAGCCCTTTTGCTTTCATTCGCAGAGAATGACTCGTTCATCCTTTCATTGCATCAAAAGCATCGTCGTTCGTTCAGCGTTCTTGCAGGGACAGACACGGAATCCATTGGTTCTTGCAGCGGCTCTCTTCGCAGTAGTTGCCCACGTCCTTCAGTGCCTCGCACTTGAGTGGCTGGCATTGAGAGTTCTGTGAAAACGCATGAAATGCACCGTAAGTCAATGTCATATGATGTTAATTTTGAACTATGAATGCATGTTGCATATGATCACGCAACGAGCTAATTCCAAGTCTACTTACAGTGACTATGATGCAGTGGAAGTCCCTTGGCTCGTTGTTGTCCACGGTGGCTGGCTCGTCGAGCACCTGTGCGAGGCGTCTCAGCCCAGACACCCGAAGGATATTGATGTCATTGTCGCAGCAGAACGCCTGAAGGAGCGTGAAGTGAATCTGCAGCGCAATATCATCCTGGTCCTCCTCATCGGTGGCCAGAACGCACAGTACGACACAATCTGGGTCTCTGTAGATCAAATGAATGGCAATTAGTCTCCTGTTTGTCGGGATAACGCAACACAACAGCATGTGTAAAAGTCAGACATAAGTATATACTTACACATTCATTAGTTTTGCAGACTCATAAACGCCGACTGTAAGACAGTCCTGTCTCTGTGCTGCTACCAGCAGCTCTTCCAAAGCTTGGCTCACGGTGTCCATTCTGTAAAAACATGCGGACAATGGTAAGCGACAGTCGGGTGGTTGTCTGTATAGTAGATTCGCACTGACATTCGCACTGAATGTGTATGCAATGCATGCAATGTAGAACTTACTTTTTATCAGTGATATTGCATCCAACGACTTCTTCCAGGGTCATTTTGCTTCAAATAATAGTGATCCACAAGTCTCCGGAAGAGCTCGCAAATATTCAAATCCAGTCGAAGTGTGCTGGCCAAAGTATAATCCAAATATCGCTCGTAGCTGTAGTATTCCTTTGCTCGTTTCGCTGTGTCTGAGAAGTGGTTTCTGCCGACTTCAAGCGAAACCCTCGCTTTTATACCGCTTTCGAGTGGGCGAGGCTTTGCGAAACGCTCGCCTTTCTCATTGGCTAGAAATGTTCCACAAGCGTCTCGCTCTCGCTCTGCCATTGGTGATGGGGGAAACTCCTGCTTAGACCCCACGTGGGCTGATTCGGGGGAAT